TACTTTATTACTATTACTTAATACTACTAGACGATAAAATTAAAGGTAACGTAACGTAATACTATAGGTCGAAGTAAGTAAGTACGTACTAGTCGTGTGTGTGTGTGTGTGTGTGTGTGTGTGTGTGTGTGTGTGTGTGTGTGTGTGTGTGTGTGTGTGTGTGTGTGTGTGTGTGTAAGTTATCTAACCAATATGATCTTTGCCATACACCTCAAACTGTGATTATAACCAGATGTAAGATTAATAACTGTTTCTGTTTCATAAAACTATTAATTGCTTTTCATACATACAGGAACCTTGATTTCTTCAATAAGTCTCAGAAATTAAAGCTAAAAGTTAACTTGAAAACAAGTATTATACTGAAATATGGAAATCTCCATTCATCCACCAAGAAACACTTAAAATGTATATATGTACATTTAACATTAAGTTTTCAAAAGTGGACATGCCAGAAGAGATACTAAATGTAAAAACCATCAACTGCTTAAAAGCTACATTCATTTCTGTGTCTGAAAGAACAGTAGGAACACAGTGGATTTTATACTTGGTTTGAAGTTCTGTATAAGCAGCATTGTGTATTACAATTTAAGTAGAAATTAACTTGTTACCAACATTTTTTTGTTGTTGAAAGTAGCTGAAACAAAAAATTCTATTTTTCATATAAAATAGTAATTGAAACTCGTTTACATGTAATTACATAAATAATTTTAAACCTATTAATGGAAAGTCAAACTTCTTTGAAAGTTGAAGCAGGCCTTAAAACTTAAAAAAAAATTACCGATTAATCTACGCTTCAAAACACAACTTGAGCAACCAACATTTAGTGTAACATTTATTACTGGGACAGAAATGCAAGCAGGTTTAATTTAAAATGCATTTTAAAACCCAAGTTACCCTTACTGGATGTTTTGGTAATCTTCATACAAAAAGTAAACCTAAAAAACATTTTTCAAAATCTTTAGTAAATTCAGATTTCTTATTAAGTAATCAAAAACAATTAAATCTAAAACAATAAAAAGTTAAAATTAATCTTGAAAAAAAAATAAGATAAAAAAATAAGTAGAACAACGAGAATGTTAAACAAATAGGTAACTTGTTCTGAATGGAAATTACTAGTAATGAAATCCAATAAAAATGAAGTACACTTGGTAGTTTTGCTGAAGTTCATGAAGAAATAGGGCTTAAAAGCAACTATTTAAAAATAAGTAAATTCCATATATTTTTGTTAGTCAAATGGAGAAAAACATTAGCCCCAGAAAGAAGTGCACTAAGTATTATACCAAACAAACGTTAGCCTAAAAATAACCATTTAATACTAATTAAATCAGTAGCAATTTGATGACTAATTTCACTATCCTCTTTTCTCTAAAAGTTTTACTGATTATTCTTAGCTGTTTACAATATATATAAAAACAAACAAAAAAGCAACAAAAATAACATTGAAATTTCCCTAAGAAAGTCAGTGTGAAATATCCTTATAAAAAGTTTGGAACAAGAAGTATCTTTTGAAGAAAAACTTGGCAACAATGGAAGTAGTTATATGATTAAAAAGAAAAAAATTCAGATGCCATGTTTTTAGTGAAGTTTGTGGTCAAAACAAGAAAGATGTGTAACATTTCAAACACTATAACCTTATTCTGCAGTTGAGCAACCTTCAAACAAACCTGTGTATAATCAACTTATAACTATACATCATAGAAATTTCAAAACAGTTACTTTTCAGATTTAATAAAAATTATTCCTTTGTTTCCATGCAAAAATACTCGGGAAGATGTTATGTATCCAAAATTGGTCTTTCTTCTGGTAGGTATAAAAAGTTTAGCTGTGCGACTTCTTCATTAGGAAATCCAACCTTTTAAGAATGTTATCAGAGCTGTCTTGGCCAAGATAGTCTATTCGACCTTGCTCCCAGGCAAACATACCTCGGAAATCTCCCACATCTGCCCCTGGGATATCAGTTTTCTTTGATGTTGTTGTCTCCTCTTCTGAGGTCAACTTTTCAGATGATACTGCATGTTCATCAGTCTCGGAAGCAGATTTCTCTTCTGGTGGTAACAAAGAGCCCTCTTCAGTTTCCTTTGTTTCTTCCAACAGGTTCAATTCTCTCATACTTTCTTGAGATTCTTTAAGGTTTTCTTCTACATCAATATTTACTTCAGCAGGTGATGGTTCCTTTCTCATGGGCTTGTGAGACTCATCACTAGAAATGTTTTGGGAAGGAGCTTCAGAAGTTTTTAAAGATTCATCTCTTGAAGATTTTCTAGAACTAGATCCACTTTCATCCGTCTCGGGAAGATCTTTAGAAGTTTGAAAATTTTTTAAAGATTCATCTCTTGAAGATTTTCGAGAAGTAGGCCTTGAAGTAGATCCACTTTCATCTGTCATGTCTGGGTAGGTTCTGAAGGATGGAGGAGTGGGAAGGCTTTCAAGATCTTCATGAGTTATGGGTGATGGGAAGAAGCTTATAAGTTCTTCAGATGTGACGTACTTCCGAACATGGGCATGTGTCCGAATATCCTGAGTTACAGAATCACAATAGTAATATTAAAATTTCTTTATGTTACATACATCTAAAACAATTATGACAAAAAATGAAATTACTTTAATGAACACAAATATTCAATGTATTACGAATTACAACAAAGTTAAATGTTTTATCACCACGTAGTTTGAAAGACTAATAGATGGATATAACATTAATATGTACAATAACTACAATATAAAAGCAACAACTGTATCCTCACTATCATTTTGTGATAAATCATAAAACACAAACAATTTTTTTTTTTAAAGAGGGTGTAAATTTTAGCTAGAAACTTTTATACATTTTATATTTATCTAACATGCAAATTTTTAAAATTAATGAGCTGATAGAATAAGCAGCAATATTGGTATCACATTTTACAATCTATTATACAGTGATTATTATAAAAAAAAACATGTTTAAGATGATATCACCTTGCACCATGTCCAAATTTTCCTTAATAAAACACGATTCTCAATGTGCCTTTGGTGAAACCATTTTCAATGGCAAATAGTTTTTAAAGGAAAGTAATATTAAAAGTTGGGTTTTCTTTCTAATCAACATGTACTTAGCAAGAAGTAGATATACCTCAGATAATAAAGGAAACACTCTCCTGTTAAAGATACTCAACCAAAACTGCACAAACTGAGCATATGTGGGATGAACATTGGCTGAAGGTGACATCTGACCAGTCTGTGGGTGGAATTTAACATGCCATGGTTTATACGAACCAAAGAAATGAACAATTTTCACATTCCTTCCAAATCTAGAAAAGTGAAATACACAAATATTTTTTAAATACTACCAGCTCAATACAATAACTCATGTAAAGTTTTAAGATAATCAGAGCAGCATATTAAATTAACTTAAATACAACTACAAACATGGGAAATTTTCACTTAAATTTCTACATTTCAACTGATGTTGATTTGACTTAACTTTGAAGGGCTTAAACAATACTTCTCGTTATTTATAACTCCCCTAAAAACAAAAGGAGCAAATAAATTACCTTTCATCTATTAATACTCCACTGTTTTTTTTGTCATAATTATGCCAATTTTCTACGTATAATTTGGAAGAGAAAACTTTACTTCTTGTCACTACACTGAGAAGCAAAAATACAGATTTAAATCTAATGATTATACTTACTGTTTGAAAGCAGGAGTATAGGTGTAGCTGACATTTGCCATTAAGTTGTAAATAAATGGTAACTTGCGAGATATGTTAAGAGCCCAGTTTCTGAAATACATGTTCAACAGTCCCTGGTCACCACCTGAATAATCAATCAACTATCGATATTACAATATAGCCTCTACATGAAGCAATAATTTATGCCTAAAATGATTTTCACCATTAAACTGTGACAACAATCATCCTATAACATGTACACTTAGTGTTTTAAATCTTTCTCTATAAATTGTATTTAAAACAATTTTATTTGATTAGTCAAATATTTTAAGTGCATATACAATTACACCATTTCTTTTTACTGATGTTATTTCAGGAAAAACTATTAGATACACAAATGATAAACACTTTTTCGTACTCATATCCGCTCCTTTCTGGGTTCATTACTGCACAATACCTTTTACTGAAGTGAACTTGAGGGAGGCAGATATCAGTACAATAAATTTTCATGAATTGTAATATACTTAAGTTCGCAATTTAAATTTTTCCATACCATCAAAGCTGCCTTGTTGCTCAGCAAACTCAATCAACCCACAGAAAGTTTCCATAGCAGGAACATAAACAAACACACCACTATTGAAGCAGTCTGGCCACCCAATATCTGGTACAGCTGAAATCTCATCTCGTTCAAACAGCTCATCACAATTCTGAACCACCTAATGTTAAGTATTGGCAAATTTAAAGACAGTACCATTAAGTTCAATACATTCTTGAACTCTAAACATCCAAAAAAAATTGTTAGAGGTAGAAAGAAAGACATGTTTCTATCAGTAAAAATAAATTCAATATTTCATTCTGTTGGTGACATTATAACAATCACAAAGAACATTAAAGTTTTCAAGCATTCACACGAATCATATACGACATGAAATCTCTCACTTCAAATAAACAAATTTGTGATACAGGCAAATTTTGAACCACACTTGCTGCATGTCCAATATTTCCAATGACTGAGTTAACACAAACAATCCCTCTTCCTATTGAACATTACTCCTAATATTATTCAAAGAAAAATATTAAACCCTTTCCTACTTTCAATTATTAGAGAAAGAAAAGAATTATTCCTAATTTGATATTGATCTGAATTGTACTTTCCTATTTAAACTTAGAAAAGGCATCCATTTATATTTCATTGTTAATCAATGGTACAAGAAAGACATATCTAAGATTAATCTCATTATTGGTTAAAATACTAAGAAAATTTTAACACCTATTCCATATAACTTTACACATCATATTTTTACAATGGAGGAACTTAAGACCTTTGTTACACCCGAAAGGCAAATTTTGAAGCTCATACAGCTTAACCACAAACTAAAAACAAAACAGTTATTCCATGTTATTTGTGTTCATACTTTGTTATTCTATTGTGAAAATCATAAGAGGAAACTTATTGGAGGGGGGAATCTTAACTGAGAAATTCAGTTTGACAACAGAGGCTCTCAGAAGTGTATTTACAATGATCAACAAAATTTCTGACTAACATATGAAACTTCACTAAATGGCTAAAGAGTAGGTTATCAAAATGAAATTACCTATTTTAAACAGTAAGTTTTCATACAAAACACCTACTGCCTCAGAGGAACTTTAAAATTAAACATTTTACACCCTTGATAACCCAAGCTCTAGAAGGCCCTTGATTCAATATTTAGACATTCTTCAATTCAAGGTACTTAAGTGATTTTCTGAGAAGTATGAACATTTCTGTACTGATTATGTTTATCAATGGGGATTTGTGCACTATTATGCCTCTTATCGACAGGACACACAGAATCAGACTTCACAGGAACAAAGTCAACCTCCTTCACACATTTCAAAACCGAAGTCTGAATTTTTCTATTTATGCGTATCTAACTAAAAATAATGAAGTGCTAAAAAAAAATTAAAAGTTCTAATAAGATATTGAAAATCAAGCTCAAATACATATTTTGTGTATGGGAGATGTTGCAATACTGAGAATTCTCTTAGAAATGGTTCTTATAATGACTTGCACAGCACAAGTTATGTTACCAGAGTAAGTTTTTTGTGATCAGTCATTTACATCAAATAAACTCAGTGAAACACGATTAATATTTAACTTCCCATACAAACCACTTCTAACTATTATTCATCATAAATTAAAAGAAATATATTATTTGAAACTATTGCTAGAGTATGAACTAACTTACCACAGTATCCGGAGAGAGAAACACACACTTAGAAAACTGTGTCAGCCTCCAAATATGAAGTTTTGTGAAAGAAACCCCAAGTTCTGGTTGATCCAGTAAAGCCAGCTTAGTGGTTCCTTGAGTCCCCAGAAGTCGAATGGACTGAACAATGTGAAACACTGTTGCTAGCATATGTCTGAAACCAACATTCAGTTTTATATAGAAAATATAATGTTTTATTCTAATAGCTTTTAATAATTCTGAACTTCTAACAAAATATCTTGCAGACAACATGTATCAGGATTTAAATATTACAAAACTAAAGACCTTTTAAGTTTAAAACTCAACAATAAACTGATACTAAGAATTATGTTCTACATCAAGAGGTAGAGGAGTCTATAACAAATACTCACATGAGCCTCGTGTTGACATATAACCCATTCTCTTGGTCATCTTAAAAGTTGGATACTTGTTACTGGAAGTATAAACTTCCTTTTAATGAATACCTCTCAAACCATCCTTCTGTTCTAGTTTTTACAGATGGCTCAAGATCAGGAGGTTGTGGGCTCTGCCATGGTTTGCTGCATCTCTATTGTTGATCACAGAATCTCCAACCCACCAATACAGATTCTGTGTTCATGCCCGAGTTGTATGTAATTTTACTTTCCATGGATCATTTTGAAGCTAAAAACTACACTAATTGTAGCATTTACATGAATACCAATTTGGAATCACTTAAACTTGTGATATTAAAAAAATGACAGACCTACTAATCACCATTTTACATTTTTCTGTCAGTAACTGAGGGCATGAGCTTGTTGTCATTGCTGCTACATCAGCATCTGCTGTGAACATTTGTAGCTTTGCTTAGTCCATATATGGACTTTAAACCAGTCAAGGCAAAGCTTGGTGCCAGTTGGCAAGCAGTTTAGGGTGAGTAATAATGTAAAAAGCTTTATAATATCAAATCTATGATAACTGATTTAACTAATTTATACAGCAATTTGGGGAAGAAGTTTCCTCACAAAGATCTGCCTTAGTCATTTTGCTTTGGCTAGTCTTTTGACCTATTTTCTCTGCAAGAAAGTGATCCACCAATGCATTTGCAGTGTAACATTCTGAAACAGCTTTATTTTACAACATTTTAACTCCCAATATCTTATTCAAATGTAATATAACTACCAAGCAGCACTACTATAGCTGACACCATTACAGAAACTATCATTCTATACTAAATGCTACACTGCTATTGCCATACTATATTACCACAGTATTAGTTATTACAGCATCTAAGCAACTACTACTATAGATACCACTGTACGGTTAATTCACATTATAGTAGACTGCAAAGAAAAATATAATCATATCTTAGGTACATAACAATACTACACCACTTATACTATATTACATGTACCATATTGCACTGGTGTGGTTATTGTACTACATATACCTTATCCTCCACATTGTAGCTACAACTGTTTACTATTCATTTAAAACCACTAAAGGAAGTTGTGTACAGTGAATTTATAGAAAATATCAAATTTAAAATATCATAATAAGGCAATTGCATTATGTAAAATTCCAGGATAGCTCTAGTAATCAAAACTGCACATTTATGGGGTGGGGTACGTCACCTTTCGAACACTAAATGAAAAATATTAAAATATTCCAAAGTAGAACATAACCAAGTCTACTAAATAACCTGTTTTGTAGCATTTTAAAATTTTGTATGATACTGTTGCATTATCATGTACTGAGTACATTAACTTAAAATGATGTTACATACACAAATCAGCAAGTCATTTGAAAATGAAAGCCAACAGTCATGCGTAAGCATGCCCAAGAACTATTTTAACACTGTGTAGTATTTCTTATATAATTTGCTGTTATAAAAAAATAATCACTTTTGGGTATGGTATGAAATAACCATTTTTAAAACAGAATATTCATATAATCTGATCATAACATGTGAAGACTGAGAATTTAAAATTTCCAAGACAGAAATATACCTTGTACTTAATGACAGAAGTTAAGAGCCAAAATTACTTACCTTAGTGGACGAGAAACTCCATCCGTAATTAGAACTACTAAAGTCCGATTAGTTCCACTCAATCTCAATGAATTTCCTAGAACTATACAACCTAGAGCACACAGATTATTGGATGCTATTGTGACATATGCTTGTTCAAGCTTTTCAGGCTCAGGTGGACATGGAAGCCAGTCTCTAACAAAGTCCACCATTTTATCCCAGCTCTTTGGTCTTGGCAGAGTTTTTCGTTGTGAGCCATCAGTTACTTCATAACTGAAAACATATGGAACTGATGGAGTATGGGAGTTTTGAGCTGTCTCAGGTTGATTAGAAGCAGTAGAAAATGATGATTTTGCCCAATCAGGTGGATGATAAACTCTCCAATCTTCTGGCCTGGACTTCTCTCCATTAGGAATAACTTCACTTGGACCACCATATGAATCATGCCTATTGGACTCCTGTAAGTGCACTGGAAAGTATCCATTTTTGTAATTATCTCTTGGCAATGGTGAGTAATGTACTTGTACAGGAGTCGAGTAGCGTGATGGTACAGAATATGGATGGCTGCCTTGTGGAGATGGATGTTCAACTTCCTGATTAATCGGAGATTGAGAAGTAGAAAGAATACCACTGTGTGAGGGTGATAATCTACACTCTGGATTTGTTAGAGTTGAGCATGAGCTCTCAAAATTAGGAGCTACTGGCTGACTGGATGAACTATCATGGCCTCTTTCACCATTATGCAAGTCAGTAGTCTTTTTATAATCCAAGTTGTGATGCTTATGGTATTGATCTACAGATGATTTTGAACCTTGTTGACCAATCCATGCCTCCATAGCACAGCGTCTGGGGCAGGAAGTTGAATGACGTGAAATTTCTTTTCTTATTTTTTCTTCACTAAAATTAAAACTTCCTATATTAAAATACCATTGGGACTGCTGCTCTGGGGAGGCACTCTGCTGGGACTGCTGCTCTGGGGTGACATTCTGCTGGGACTGCTGCTCTGGGGTGACATTCTGCTGGGACTGCTGCTCTGGGGTGACATTCTGCTGGGACTGCTGCTCTGGGGTGGCACTCTGTTTGGACTGCTGCTCTGGGGTGGCATCCTGCTGGGACAGCTGCTCTGGGGTGGCACCACAATTGCATTCAGGGAAATGTGCAAAACTTTCTGGGCCTTGTCCAGATTCCTTTAGATGTGAAGCTTCTTGAGATATTTTAAAAGCTTCTCCCTCACTGTTTACTCTAAAAGGAATCATGGCTTGCTGCAACCTCTCTTTCACACACCAAAAGCACTGCTTATCGCCATCTTTCCCTCCACCCTTCACAATATCTACAACCACATTATCCAGAAAATCTTGCAATATGGCAATGTACGACAAAACTCTTTTTGAACAAAATCCACAGATATTAGATTTCTCCTTTGAAACCAAAAGGGTATTTTCTTTAGATAATTCTGCTTCATCTTTACTTTTTGCATCTTCCCCACAGCTACTACTAAGGAATTTCTTAAAAGTTTCATCATAAAAATCTGGAGGCTCATTGGTATGTCTAGAACACTTAGATGGAGTTGTTTCTGTCTGATGGTTAGCTGTGGAATAAGAATCAGAGATATTCTGATCATTTATTTTTGTATCTTGTTTGTGCTGACTTTTTGTGCTTTCACCTTTTTGTTCATATGAACATTCTTTGAGTGGTGCTCCACTATCTTGACATTCAACATCAAAACCATCAACAATTGCAAAATCTAAATCATTCTGCAATGGTGGGACTTCTGGAAAGTCAGGATAACAGTCCTCCTCTGAATCTGTCTCAGCTACTACTTCATCTCTCTGTAATTCACAAACATTTTCTATTTCCAGAAAATCTTGTTCATTTTGTGCCTTAAAAAAACAATGGCTCTGAATCTAAAGATGCTGAAGAGTCAGACATAACTGACTTCCTATGTTCAACATCCTTAGGAAGCAGATTGATTACACCATCATCAGTGAAAGTGTCAGTGCTTTCTTCTTCAGCAGAATCTTCAGGAAAATGTTTCACTTGTTTTTGCTGATAAGCTTTAAGGAACTGATCACTTGTATACCAATTTTTGTCTGTGTAACTAATAGCATCTTCATCATTCAGATTGTCTCCTGATTCTACTACAAATTGCAGTGAGGTACTTTCTTTACTATTCTGTACACTTGCAGCCTCATTCTGTCTACATTGATCTTCATACTGTGACCTATCCAAGTTCCTCTCTTGACTAATTACAGATTTTTCTTTAACTGAAGAAAATAACTGGGGAGTGTTTGAAAAAAACATTACATTCTCTGGAAGGTTTTCAGCCTCTGTAAAGCTGTAATCAACTTCCATTTCAGCTCTCTGTTTAAAGTCAAAACCTAAAACATCCAATTCATGTTTGCCAGTTGTTTCCAAATGCTGTGTTACACCAGGACATGTTGCTGTTACAGCTTCATTCTCTTCTGTTGGAATGCTAAGTGATGCTGTTCTGTAAAGTATTAAATATCCTTTCAGCAATAATTCAACACCCGTTAATATGTTGCATTCTCAGTTCTAAATTGCAAAAGCAGTTCAGAAACAATTGTCATTTTATGAAATGCATGATTAACATAATACTAAGAGAGCAAAATTTTTACCTTAAACACATTTATGAGTAACTTCTCTGATTAAATGGCTTGTACCATTAAGGGGATAAACAGGCTAATGTAAGATGTTAACAGTAACGCTGATCAAACTACCCCTACCAACTGTTAAATGTTAAGTAGCACAACTTACGTTACTTATTAAATAGATAAGTTATCCAAAGATTAACATTTAAAGGTCACATGTAAAGACATTTTTTTTAAACTATAAAATAGGCTATAAAGTTACAGAACATTGAGTGAAGTTGAGAAATTATGTAGACCAGAAATAAAACACCACAACTGACAATGCAAGACTATGATAGTTATAGATTTAAAAACATTACTTTCTTATACGTAATTCTGAAATCAGCTTCTTACAGGTGTATTCTAAGTTCAAAATGCCAAAAACGTAATGTTTCTTAAAATATACCTTACTATACAATTATTTTTAGTGTATCACTCTGAACTGGTTCTAAATGGACATCAATAATAACGTGTGAATAACAGCATTTCAGCTCTACAGTACACCTTGGCTGGTGACGAGCTCATCAATATTCAGGGTGTTAACACTCAATGTCTTATTCGAAACCTTATTTTCTTACTTCATATTCGTGTACGGAAACAAAAATTAATCGCTGTAGAACAAACGTGTCGATCCTCAGGCCTTATCATGATAATATGCGCAATGAAATAACGAAACGATATAAAACTAAGAAGAAATATGGACTGTACAGATTTGGCGTAGTTCGATGACAACGAAACGATACAAGACAAATGACGTAAACTTTTTACTTTATTACGTGTATTGCATGCAATGAAACAACAGAACGATACCAAAGGAAGGATGAGAACCAGAGTATAGGCGACCCTATTACTTAAACATACATGTGGGACAGACCCTTATACATCTGACATTTAAAACCGTTGGTCTTTTTATGCCCTCTAGCTAAATACAATAAAAAAACTTTCACACACACAAATATTAAACTATTATATTGAACATTTCAATTACTATAATTTATAACCAGTTGTTCTCAAAATTTTCGGGCTCGTGTACCATATTTTGTTTAAGCTTTTTTGAAATGCAAACACAGGCCTAGTTTTAACAAAACGAAAGATCGAATTGCAAACATTTTTAACAATTACCCATTAACGCGAATGACGTGATTTTGTTTTGTGAAGAATATGTGATGCGATTTTTGTCAACTTGAATGGACAAAAACACTAGAGGATATAAGCAGGAGTAGAGCGAGCTCTGCAGGCGAGTCTAAGAATGGGGGGGGGGGGAGTAGTATGTTCATGTAAATGGGGTGTTTATATTGAGCTTATTACAAGTTTTATTAATTTTACATTAATGTGTGTGTGTGTGTGTGTGTGTGTGTGTGTGTGTGTGTGTGTGTGTGTGTGTGTGTGTGTGTACTACCTAACCGAACGGAAGGTAAGGTAGGTTAGGTTAACGTAACGTAGTATAGTACGTAGTAAGTAGTACGACGAGGTGTAGTAGTAAGTAA